ATTATTTCATCCACATTTCCCCTTTAACAGCTTCAACATTAATACTGTCACAAAAATAGTCTAATGAGGAAAATATGATTCTAGACTTGAACTTATTTCGCATTTTGTAATAATGTAACGTAGATATATGAGCAAGCATTACGATCAGTAATCAATTAAAGGTTAAAGCCATTCTCAAATGTAATTAAAATTATAAAAAAAACAAGTTATGTAATAGAGATAAAAACATTAAAAAAAATTAAGTTACGTTTTTTATTTGTAATTTGAATGTGGTATTGGTTTTGATTAACATGATTAATTTAGTCTATACCTAATGAGAGTGAGTCATACTGTGTTTTTCAGTGGCTTAAATAATATTCAAAGCCCCCCTATGTTTATACAAAAAAATACATTATATAAAATGTAAAAAAATACACATTTACTACAAACAATGACATCAGAACAAAACACCTAGTGGCTTCAAACAGAATGACAAAAACAACCTAAGCCCTCTGAGCATCGCTGGGAATGCACAGCAGCCACTCTCTTACTTTGAAAGGGAAGACAAAAGGAAGTTGGCACGGAGGACAGATTCCGGAGCCGGATCACTGATCCTAGCAACGGGCGCCTAGCAACCGCAGCTTGTTTGGTGGAGTGACGGCGCCGCAGGACGTCCGTCTGACTGCGAGACGCCCAGAGGCAGCCAGCTGTGGGGGTGCCATGTTGATGCTGCAGTCACAAAAACACTGTATCTGTCTGCAGGCAACACACACACACACACATAGACACACACACACGCACACACACACACACACACACACACATACACACACACACACACACACACACACACACACACACACACACACACACACACACACACACACACACACACACACACACACACACGTCCCACTCTGTCTGGTTTTAGGTTTTATGCACAGACTTTACAAGCTGATGGTCTCTTTTAGATGAACACTAATCTGACTGGGGCTTTTTTAAATAATAAGCAAGGAGGCAGCATCATGTTGAAGCTGAACTCTTTTTTGATGTTTTTAAATCACTTTTTCTCTGTAGTTGCAATTTTAGCCTTCTCTTTCTTTCATATGTTATGCTATCTGCACCAAGTAGTTTCTTTAATGTAATATAATATATGTACGCATGTAATTGTAAAAAATGCTAAATGATTGCGTTTGTCGACATAATTCCTTTCCAAAAATGTTCATAATACAGCTCAATCTACACTAAACCAACCAGCTAGAAATGCATTAAAAGAGACACAATTGCTTTATTTTATTCTTAAAATAACCTTGACTTTAACGTAAATGTATTTACCCAAGGTCATTGCATTTGAAAAGGCAAACCAGCGTTGTCTTCTTTTCCCCAAACAAAAGAAACAACATGCATGTATGCATTTCCTCCCATTTTCATTTCACCACACACACTGATTGACAGCTCTGTGTTGTGTCCATCAGGGCAGCAGCAGTGCAGTCAATTCACAGGGACCCGGTTTATTTTCAGATGGAATAATTGGCTCATTAGGGGGTGTGAAGGCGCAGAGAGGCAGCTGCATCCTCATGGTGTCTCTAGCTGCTGTTTGTCCAGATGATTCCTGCTGAATGTCAGGTCAGTGGGGATCCGTGTGAAAGGTTGGACTCGCACCAGGCTGCTGTTCAAATGAAGCCGCATTTAGCCGTGCATTTGTTGTGAAACAGATCCCGCTCGCTTTCACTCAGGTCTTCCCGATCATCAGACACAGCACCTGCTGCTCAGCCGTCACATAATCCCCTCCAACAGGTTGACGCAACATTTAGCCACGGCGCTTTTGTGTAGTTTGTTTCCTGGAAATGTGGAAGAATCCCTGCAATGTCACACCTTGGATGCATGCGTGGTTTTTGAACCCTTTGTTTTCTCCTTCTCATTATGTCCACTGCAGCTCGGTGCAGAACAGCGAGAGAGGGAAGAAGATCGGAAACGCCATGATGACCACCAGCCGCAGCGTGGTGCAGACGGGGAAGGCAGTGGGTAAGAAAGCTCACAAAACGGTCCTTAAATTAAATGTTCGAGGGAAAACATTATTCAGGGGAACAACCAATAAATACACAGAAAGGTCAGTTTCTTTACAATATGTGTGGTCTACCTCAACATCACCCACACCTTTCCTAATAGTAGAACATGCCCTTTAATGGTCCAACATTGATAAAATATTCAAAACAGTAAAGCAGGAATACCCAAAAGACACATGACCTATTTGGTCCCTACTCTCCCCCTCTGCTCTCAGGTCAGTCGGTGGGCGGAGCGTTGACCAGCGCCAAGTCGGCCATGTCCTCCTGGTTCTCCACCCTGGCCCAGCCTGCAGCTGTAGCCGCTCCAGAGTACGTGGAGGCCGCCACAGAGGTCCAACCCTAACCCCCCCCACCCCCCCACTCTGTGTGTGACTCTGTTGTCGTCCGCTCACCCTCTGGCTGCTATGAAGCCCGAGGCTCAGCGGACCAGGCGCTGCTTTTATGAAGGAGTGTGACGTCCTCAGGTTGGTGGCTCCGGGTGACATCATGACAGGAAGGCAGCGTCGCGTTATAATAACTGTACAGTCCATTTCCACTGTGAGGCAGAGACTGCCAGCGCTTTTGATCAAAAACCCAGAAATCGCTGCCGGCTGCATCATGTCTGAGCGGCCCTTTGTATCGCTGGATGCTTCTCCTGTAAGACACTAAACATACTGTCGTACGGTTTGCCGTGTCGCTCTCCCTGCTGCGTATTTCTAGAGTTTGCCTATATCTATATTTGCTGACGGTTTCAGGCTCATTTCTTTGGAGAGATCAAAGATTCATCGGTGCCACAGGATTTGACAGAACAGCATGAGCTGTGGCACCTCAAACATTTTAACGGTTCAGATTCTCAGCCTGGCTCTTGTTCAGTGATGGAACAACATGGTGGTGGTCGCAGTAATGGCATCAATTCCTGCATACATGAAACAAAAGAAAAGGCTGAAACTAATTAATTTATTGATTATGATTTGTTTTATAATTACTGGTTAATTTGAGGAAATAGTGAGACATAAAACACTATCGGACAAATAACATGTAACAACAAAAATCATTCTTGAGCACAAACAAATATAAAGCTCCACATTTCTATTCATTTGCTTTGCCAAATGTTTTTAAAGAAAAAAATGTAGTTTCAATGTTAAGTATTGCAATAGTATTATTTATTAATATATTCAGTGTTATTTTTGACTTGTCTGATATCATTTTCTTACACCTTTAATTTAGTAGTTTTATCCAATTAAATGTAAGATGATATAATCTTAAAATGGCAATTTCAATTTGCTCTAAAACTGCACTCTTAACTCATTTGACAAAAAAAAACCACTACACAAATAATAACACAATCTGAATGCAGTTACTGCGCTCACCATAATGTTGTTACATGGATCCTCGTGCACTAAATGTCTGATTCTGTCTCCTGTTGAAATCCTCTCTTAACTATGAAGGAACCTGCACCCAGCTGTGTTTGACCGGGTGTCATTAACCCCCCAGGCCTTTTTATACTACATATATATATATTGGGAGACCTATATTTAGTACATCTGAAGATAGTTTAAAGTTATTTATTTGTTGTGTAGAATATCCACGTTTTATCATGAAAACACTGGAACTGAGTGTGGACCACTGAGTGTGGACCACCGAGTGTGGACCACTGTGTGTATTTGCACAGAGCGGCCATCATATTCTATTTATGTGACTCTTATCTGGTATAACTGTGATGTTCAGGTGCTTTCAGGATCTGTTCCCTCCATGCTTCAGATATTCAACAACAGTTGGATTCAAAGTGGTCCAGTGAGCATGCTCTGTCCAGTCCAGTTTTACAGCTGTAATGAGTGTCACCCCCCCCCTCCCGTCTTTAAAACTCTTTTAGTGTCCCCTTTGTTCTTCATGCTTTTAAACCTTCTTTGGCCATCGAGTCATTTCGGGAATTTTCTTTAGATTTCTGGATTAGAAGATATCAGCTGTTAAAAGCTGCCTTTTTTTTTTTTATCCTCTGATGATATATTTTCATTTGATATTTAACAGATATGAATGTATTGTGAATGACAGTTCACAGAATATTTTCTTGACAGATGCTTTTAATGTATTTGAGAAGAAGTGATCCTCTACTATATTGCTGTATTAAAAAAACATAAATAATACAGGCTTTTACTTTTTAAGAGACTGTGATATGGGAACAGTTATTTTCTGTTATCCCTCTGGGTGTTTGTGTCTGGGTACGAATGTAGGTCAGAACAACAAAGTGGTGGCATGTGTGTGTGTGTGTGTGTTTAGAGGGGGTTGTTGTTGTGGTGGTGGCACATGGTCGCACAAAAATGCACCCATGTGTTTTCCGAAAAAACAATTCGGCAACATCACGGGGACACGGCAAGATCAGCAGAAAGTCACAGTACAGAGGGATTGTTTGTATATTTAATTAATTTTTTTACACACTGATTTTGTTTGGATTAATTGTCCTTACGTCTGATTAATTAGATAAATATATCAAGAGATTATTTTGTATCCGTTTTTTCTTGATACATTACAGAACTGGTATTGTGTAGTGTTCTGATCTTTAACTATTAATCATTTCCCACCATGTATCCTTAGCCATAAAGCACCTCAAACATCTTTTTCAGATCAAATGGATAATGAATATTTTTCAAGTAATATTTCAGATATTTAGTGAAGATATTGTAAAATTTTCCACAAACCCTTTCATTTATTTTAAATAAAACATCTGCAGTACAAATCTGCCAAAACAAAAAAATATTATTCTTAACACTTTTTTAAATTAAACAGGGCTACAAATCTATTGAGAAATGTAACACCACAGTCCACATGTTTAACTTTTTTGGTAACCAATACAAATGCTTGTAGTGTTAAGTATCAAAAACAGTTCAATATCTGATAGATAATATTTTTTGGACAAAGAAAGTTAAACATTAAAAAAAATAAACACCAATAGTCTAAACAAAAGAAGCAGGGAGTCAGTTTCAGGAACGTTTTTGGTATGTTTTTTAATAAATTAACGTTCATTCAAAATACAGTGCCAAAGGAATATGATGCAGCCAAACATGCTAGTAAGGTTTGTCATGAAGCACCTGTGCTCATGTTTTTAAAGGTAGGAGGAAGACCCCTGCTCCCCCTCCCCATCCCCAACTATAACCTGCCCTCTCCACTACTGCTAGTGGTTGCCGGGACGAACTCCATAGCAACAGTCGTGGGCCAGCCCTCTCTTCTCACAACCAATCAGCAGCAAGATTCCTCAATTTTCACTTGAGAAAAAATTCAATCTGATAGGAAAATGGACATCTACCCACAATCACACTACAGTAATGTTTGATATTAAATTAAAAAAAGACACTAATACAAAATAGACCTGGTTATTTCCCCCCACACTAAAACAGTTGTCTTTTAAACATATGAAAAATATATATTTTATTATATATATTTCAGCAGCTTGGGGGAAAAAACAAAAAAAAATGCATGAGCCCGAAACCTACTGAGAGTGGAGTTGTGTAGAGACCCTCGTGGAAAGAAAAATGTTCATGATCATGTGACGATGGATGGAGTGAGGTGTAAACTGCGAGCTGTGTGGAAGACAGAGGTGGGGGAGGAGGACAGAGGAGAGGGGGGGGAAGAGGTGAGGGTGCCCGGACCTGCAGTCACCCACTCTTAAATCCTCTCCTCACTCGTTTCCCCCTCCTCCCGAAAACTACAGCCCCTGTTCCTCTCGTCTGCGGGGGCCTTCAGAAGAAAAACACGGATCCTGTTTGTTAAAAGGTAATCTATCCAATACTTATTTTGCTCATTTGTGGAGGAGGGTAGTTGTAGTAAACATGGATTTAAATGGAGACGACAGCAAGCAAACATGTCTGAACCAGTGCTGAAAGGACAACTGTCAATCATTTCATCATTTGCGCAGAGCTGCAACTAATGCGTTTTTTCATTATTGTTTGTCAACAGAATTTCAATAAAAACTACTAGCCTCATTTTTAAGGAATTTGCTAGACGGGTGAAGCAATGGATCGAACTAATTTTATATTTTGGAGCAGATCAAAAGTACAAAGCAGATATAAGTTACTATCATTACATTAGTGCTGCATTCAAGTGATGACGGAATTATAGTTCAAATGCGTACTAAATGGAAAATGTACATAAACGCCCGTCAAGTCAGAACACTTAGGATACAGATATCAAGGTGAAGTTTAAACACTTAAATACAATTGTGTTGGGTAGACAATTTGAGTTTTTTAAAAATGACATCTTATAGACTAAAAGACAATTCATTTATTTAATATACTTGTGGTCTTCAATGAAAATACGGTTTTGAAGCAGCTCTGCTTAAATGTATCCAAACATCAAAGGTCCAACTTTCTTTGCTCAATTGCCACACAGATGTTTTAATTGTTATTATGCGACAAATTTTTTTTAGCTTAAAAAAGGTTGAATATTGAACATTTATCAGTAGTTTTACAAAACAAATCTTAGCACTATGTCCACATACTGGAAATATTATGGACCTTCTTGTAGCCTCAGTTTTAAGTGAAGAGAATAGAGGTTAACACGTGTTAAAAAGTAAACCAAAAAAATTAAGGAGACTTTAAGCGTTAAAGGCCATGAGATGTGAGATTGAGAAAATGTTCATAAAATGGACCTTATGCTGCATATTTTATCTGACAAACTACCAGCTCAATATCAAACATGCTTTAAATTGTTTTGAGAAGTTTCTATGGAACATTTTGTTAGTGGATCTCGTTTGGGAGCCATTGTAACTACAGCTGCTGCTTCCACAAAGGAGCAAACTAATAACTTTTCCAAGAGCCTTTCAAGCCTTATACTCTAAGAGACAGATTTTCCACAGAGCTTTCATTTATCAGTGGTGAGAGAAGAGAAAAAGAGGAGAGGGGGAAGCCACGATCAGAAGGGATAGGGTGGGGGGGGGATTTTGGTACAGTTGCCATTGTCATTCCGAGAAGGTTAACCAGTTAAGTGCATCATCATCATCATCACAAAATAAGTTGACGTTCAGATTATCACATTGTAGAAACAGTATGACAGACTTGTAATAATATCTAACAGATGTCACAAATGACAAAATAAGAAGATTTTTTTTCAGATTACTTGTGTTTCCGAGGGGCATCTTTTCAATCCGGGCTGCACGTGAGGAGATCCCTCCACAACAGAGAGAACGTCAAACCCTTTCATATCAGAGAAGTGATCTGCCCCCCCTTCATGTTCATCCCTCAGCGTTACAGATTCCTGGTTCAGTCAGCGAGGTAGGGGAGGGGAGGTTAAGAGCTATACGTGAGGGAGGGTCACCAGCTCCCCGTCCACCTCAAACTCCTCGGCTCCGTCGGGGGAGAAGAGATAGGTTGGGGGTTTCCAGGGGGATTCTTCCAGGCAGGAGGGGTACAGCTTCCCCACAGCACAGCGGAAGTCCTTGCCCAGGTCCCAGAGCACGCGTTCGGACACGGGCTGCCGCAGGTACCAGCGGTCCAGCTCTATGTCGTACTGGTAGATCGCGTACTTGGCCCTCTCGTTCATGTGGGTCTCGCGCATGAAGATGCACAGCGAGTTGAGCAGAACCACCGCCCGCACGCAGGGGTCCGAGTACCGCTTAGCAGGGATGTTGGCGGCCTGGCGCCACTCGTTCTTGTTGACGTCGTAGATCTCCACGGTGACAGAGGAGCCGTCGATGGTGCTCGTGGGCAAGCGGATGCCAGAGTTGCTGACCACGTGGAGGCCGCCGATGTAGAAAATGAGGTCCCCGAAAGCAGCGGCAGAGGCGAAGCAGCGGCTCGTCTTGCGCATGGCCATCTCCACCCAGGTGTCGGCGCGGGGGAAGTAGCAGTACATCAGGTCGTGGGTCATCACGTAGATGCAGTCGTGCGCCACCACAGAGGTGCTCCAGTTCCAGGCGTAGGGGAGGGGGCTCATCATGCTCCACTCGTCCTTCTCGCAGTCGTAGCGCTCCACCGTGCGCTTGTTCAGCTCTCCTCCGACGTTATCTCCTCCGATTGCATAGATGTAGCCCTCGCAGTGGACCAGGGAGGGCTTGATTCGGGCACACAGCATGGGGGTTTTAGGAACCCAGGCGTTCTGCTGGGCGTCGAACCAGAAGAAGCTGTCGACAGAGCAGAACACCGCCTGTAGCTTTCCACTCTTGCCGTGGCTGGTGATAGAGTTTTTGAGAGGGATCTGCCCCCCGGCTATGAACACATCATTGTCTGGTGTAACGAGAGTCCCCACCTTCTGCAGGTCTCCTGGGGGGTTGTTGAGCTTGTACACTTTCTCCGCCTGCGGGCTGTAACACACTACTCTGGTAGGCAGACACCCAGCCACCACATATCCGTGACCCAGCTCTTCTGACATGGCCTCCATGAAGATCAGCATCTCCTCCTTGGTCATGCCTAGACGAGGCTTGAAGAACTTGGGCATGGACTTGTAGAGGCCCTGCACCACCACGGACTTGTCGTTCGGCGGCAGACCCTGGAACCAGGCGCGCTGCGTCACCTCGGACAGAGCGTCGATGCGGATCTGACTGAGCACCGAGGACAGGTGCTGCGAGCGGGCCTCCATGTTGTACTCCAACCACAGCATGGCCGCCTCGCGCACCGTCTCCTCCTTCTCCACGTTGAGGTTGTCGCTGCTCAGCACGTCGATCAACAGCTCGTGGGAGAGCTGAAGGAACGCCTCCTGCCTGTACACCATGGGGAACTTGTGCTCCACCATACGCTTAGCGCTCTGCTTGAGCTCACTGCAGCTGAAGAGGTCGCCGATGCTCAGCATGCGGACGCAGTTGTCAGCGCTTATCTTCTTCACCAGGTAGTCTCTGCACTGCAGCAAGACGTCCTCCACCTGAACAGAGGACAAGAGACCACAGTCAGACAAGACATTTCACTCTGAATCAAAGGACACGGCTACAAGAGTAGAGACTGACACAACCATAGTCATTTAAAGATGTAAATAGGAAGATTGGGTAATCTAATTAGGTAGATTTTCCGGGGGACCTCCATGGGACCTTATTTCGGGAAAATTATGTATTGAAGTCAATGGGGAGAGAAAGATTATCTTTCGATTCCGTTTGAATTGTGCCACGAATTACACATATGATGTTTGTTAATTTAAAAGATAATTTTGCAAGTCAAAAAAATAAAAATGTGTCGTAAAACTGTGAAGTAACACTTTTTTTGTGTGAAACCACTCAATGAACTACATCTCCCGTCTTATATTTCAACAGTTTTACGACAAACTGTGACTTTTTTTTTTACATGGAAATAATTTTTTAAGATTGACAAACATCACGTGTAATTCGTGGCACAATTCAAACGGGATCGAGAGATACGTTTTCTCTCTCCATTGACTTCAATACATACTTTTTCCAAAATAATGTCCCATGAGGTCCACCGGAAAGGGAGGGACTTCGCCCTCTCTATAGTGTTTGAATAAAAATAGCAAGTGTTTACACGCACCTGTAGGAAGCAGGCGGTCTCGTAGAGCGGCTCCACCGTGCTGTCGTTGATGGCCAGGTTGCCCGTGTAGGCGTAGGTGATGATGATCTGCAGGGTGGCTGGGTCCACGTTCCTCAGGTGGACGTGGGTCTGTTTGCTCTCACTGAGGCCGCTCATGAACATCGCCCTGCAGGAACACCAAGGAACATCCATCAGTACACAGAGTTACTGAATTAGGAAGAAAACTACAATGTCTCACACTGAACAAAATATTACTGACAAAATCTACTATCTTGATCTTAATCAGAGGGGTTTTGCCCAAATTGGCACATCATAAGACTTATTTTAACTTATACTTAACAGATTCTTGTTCTTAAAAAAATTGCAGGATTGTAGGATACTGCCGTATTTGAAGATGAACTGATTTTGATGCTTTACAGCTGCTGGTGTACACTGATTAGCATGCCCAACCAAGCCAGTTTCTCTCATTAGTGACAACAAGTGACAGACCCCCCCCCCCTGGTTGGTGGGCTAACTGTGCACAGTTTGTCTCCAGCTGGGACTCCTCTCTGTTTGAGTTCCATGCGGGCTGCCTGCACTTCCACGTTGTCGTGAGTCAGAGTGAGTCAGAGCTGCCTAAACCTCTTTTTACTGCATCTATTACTCAAATGTTATGTATCTGTAGAACTGTTATTGGCTTAAACTGGTCATTTGCATTTATTATGGCAACGTCTTTGGTGCATTGATGCTTCTGTGCTGCGCTTGTCAGAGTCAGATTGTCAGAAAATGACCAAACATGTAAGGTAATCAATTAATCCTAAGGATTTTTAAAGCCCAAATGTTAAACATTGACTATTTTCAGCTCCTTAGATAGCATGTTTTCGTGATTTGTACTCTTGTATAGGATACTTAAAAGGTGTAGCTTTAAGTTTGGAATTATTTGTCATTTTGTCACTTGCACTAGCAATAATGTGCCTGCAAAACGGCTCTGTCCTCCTGTATGGAGTTTGGGGGGGTGTGACTGTTTTGCTCACAGCAGGGGCTAAACCTTCCAGGCTGTGTTACGCAACCCTGCAGGCATACCCCTGCACCCCACCCCCTCCCTCTTTTTCCTCTTTTTCCTCCCCTTTCTCTACATCTCTCCCCAAGACCTACGTGACCAGACTTTCCCCTCCATACACCAGCACTCCCCAGACTCTCCCCTCTTTCCCTGAAGCGGGGAGGCGTGCGAGGGGAGGGGAGGTGGAAGCGCAGGCTGCATGACAGAGAGAGAAAAGGAAGGAGTAGCAGTTTGGAGGAAGCGCAGCCTGCGACACCTCTGAACCCTGCAGGGGAAATGCTTTGCATGTTCGCACCAGATCACGAGAGTGTGGGAAACAGGGGGTGAGATCGCGTAAGAGCTGGGTGTGAGAGAGGCATCAAGTTGTCAGGACCTTTTCTTGGAATGCATGTGTGAGTGTGCAGTGAGAGAGGGAGGGGTTAGACGCAGAGTAAGACAGCGTGTTCAAATGAAGCCCCTGTCAAGTACAGATGGACTCTTCCCAGAGCCGAGGCTGCTGCTCTGTCACATTCACTGCAGTGCACACACTTCATTATGCAATGTTGTGCGTTCAAATGAGGCCTCCTCAGGGCCTTGAGGGATGCTTCTGTACGACTATAGGTTAGAGATTGCTTCATTTGTTCTGTGAAATACATCGGACACGGAATAACTGGCGCAGAAGGAGCCCCGGCTTTCAAGGAAACACCATCCCCTTGTTTTCCGTCCTGCGTGTAAAGAGTGTATAACACTTGCTCTACGACGCTGTGCATTATTCATTGTAACCGTAGGAGGTGAGCACTTACAGACATAACAACCTCGCTTCATAATGACAACATATCGTCAAAATGACACTGAAGGGAATAATTGCTTTCTTTAAACACGGCGTGTTGCATTATTCATTGAAACTGTAGGAGACTAATTCAGAAGAGCCCCACCACACAAAGCATCATCACTAAAATAGTCATTAAAAACAGAAGTCTCAAACACACACAAGTTATTCCACACTTGCAGCACTTACCTGAAATAGGAGCTACATGTTGCCAGGACCATCTTGTGACACGGGAACTCTGAGTCCTCCACCAGCAGCACAACATCAGTCAGTAATTTCTGTTCGTAAAAGAACTTGAGCTGCTCCAGCAGGGAGACAGCGTAGTCCGCGTTGACCGGCCTGCGCTCACTGAGATCCGACATGGTTGCATCCCATGAATCGCGCCCCAGTTTTGAAAAGTCACACGGCCGGCAGAACCGGGCTCAAACCAACCAGGAGAATATATATTTTTCAAAAGTCAAGAGGGTTAACAGGGGGCGTGGTCTTCAACACCTCCACTGACCAAAGTGGAGGTGTTCAACTCCTATGTGGAAAAATATGCGCTGCTCCTTCTTCTGGAGATGAGTTGAAAGAGGAGATGGCTACTGAGTGTCGCAGTCAGGAGTCCAGGGGGTAGGGTCCTGGGTGAAGAAGGGGTTGTTTCCTCTCGTAGATCTATCGGATGTCTGAGATCATGCAGTGAGGCACCGGGGAGGATCGGAGGTAGAGGGAGAGCACCACAACTGTTGCAACCCTGCTACATCAGTGCTCGTCTGAAAAACACAGGAGAAATACAAAAACAGCGGTGATGAGTCAAGAATCCATGGAAACTAGAGGGACAGAAAAAATAACCCTTTGCTACACAATTCTGATTCATTACCAAAGATGCCCCAACTTCATAGCGTGACAACATAATCTCCTTTCTCCTTTTTTGGGCCTAGATCTTTCTGTGTGCAATGATGCCACAACACTGTCAGATTGACTAGAAGGGCCCTACATAAATGGGAACAAAAAACTTTCCAACGCCTGTTTTTATCAAAACAAAAGTACTGGGAAGAATATTTATGTCAAATGGTGCATTTTACAGCCACCTCCACGCTGAATCAGATCTGCTGGATGCCGATACTGACAAACACCCGAGACAACCTCCGATCGTGTGTAAATGTAAAGCATTTAATACATTATTTAAAGGTCCCCTATTATACTGTTTTTCATTACTTTATTATAGGTCTCAGATTTATACAAAACATGTTTCTGAAGTGTTTGGCTCGAAATACAAAACGGATCATGCATTGTAGCATCCCATAATCCCCTGTTTCAAAAAGTGCTGATTCTCTGTCTGTTACTTTAGATGAAAATAAGGAGCCACTCCCCACGCCCCTCTGAGAGATATTTGGTTAAAAAGAACACAATGGTGCTCTAGGAGGAGATTCAGGTGATAAGGTGGGGGGGTTACCTTGGTTGGTGATTGGCTAATGGTTACACAAGCCAAAAAATCGTTATGACATCATGAAGTGGCCAAAATCTGATCAGCTCATTTTCAGACAGGTTTTTATATAAATGGATAAGGACAAAAAGTGAGAGAATCTTTTTTCCTGAAACTTTCAGATTCTCTTTACACAGAGGGGACACATGTTGATGTAGAAGATACATGGAAAAGTGGATTTTGCATAATAGGTCCCCTTTAAGTAAAATCATGTATTTGTTGCTACTATCAGTGTTTTCCTTTATGCATCATAACTGCCACATTTTATGATGCATTTGACTGCTTTAGATGTTGAAGGTTGTGATGTTTTAACTCATGTATGTAATGTTGGTATCCCTGTGAGAACCATGCGAAGTATCTCTAAAAAGTCTCATGAGCTCAGACAAAAACACATTTCTGTTTCCAGCTTTGTGATGATGCATTTTTCAGTTGATCCAAGACGGTTTTTCCGAATGGTAATTGAGTCTTAGAAATAAGAGGACTTTATCTATCCAAAAGAAAAACGTCATCCTTCATTTGATCAGAAAAACAATCAAGATTAAGCTGTCAGACAACTGCAGTATAATATTTACTTCTGAGATGTGGTAGAATTATTAAGTAGCAGAACATTTGAGATACTCAAGTAAAATGCAAATCAACATTCGACTAAAATGTACATTTTACTACTGTTGAGGCCTACAGTTTACCAACAACGTGTACATGATATAGCTAAGTTAAGGTTTTCACATGACACATCCTTACAACGTTAGTCCATCTTTATACATCAACTTCCAACGCACTAGCTTAGATAACTGGCTAGCTACCTAGCAAGCTAACGACTGTACATTAGTGACGTATTTAACCCCAACAAACTGCTTACTAACGGTTCACTGAAGTAAAGGCTGATCTTTATAAAGATTGTATCGTTACAATTAATTTGGACGTGCCCGATCCTGGATGGACAGATAAATTAGCATGTTACCGTTACCCACCATTTCCAAAACAAACCCTGCCTGCCATCTAAAACATGGCAAAGTAACATTAGACAGGCGGGCCTGTTGCAAAATGCACATCTTGCTGATGTTAGGTAAGACGACAAAGATCATGATACATGATCATTCGTTTCAAAATACACGTAAAACAACCCCCGGCTTTGATAAACTGACCAATACATCTTAACAGCTAGCATCGATATAATGTTATATCGCTAGCTCACGTAGCGACACTTGCTTGATTGCCACTCGCGGCAAGTTAGCAACTTTAGCTCCACAGTTCCGGGGTAACGTAGTTGTTAGCCCTTGTCTGGTCACACATACTGGACAGTCAAGGGTCTCACATTATCTGGTCAATTATTGAATGGTTTTAGAAAGGCCATCAAAAAGGTACAAACCCTCTGCAGCAAACACATTTAACGAGCGATCATGCTTGCTAGCAGGCACACAGCTAACAGGCTAACTGCTAAACGAGCTAAATAAACGTAAGCTAGAGGCACTTTTCAAGTTAACCATTCCAACAATCAACATCCACGCTTCCTTACAGTGACTGTAGCCGGACTCCACGCACAGTAAATCGTCGCGATGGCTTCTCTGGTGATCAGAAAGTGTCAAGTAAGCTCCTCAAGCCGAATTTAGACATTAAACAGTTGTGTTGAAGCGCCGAGCAACGGACAACCTTTCAGCGCATCATAAGCGCTGAAATAAATAGAGGCCAAATGAGGATACTGCGCATGCGTCGAGACTAAGCGGCCTGTACTTGTTAACAGAGTAACTGCGCCCTCTGGTGGACAAATAGAGAATATACATTGGAGGAAGTAGTTTAAAAAAAGACCAACACACTCTGGAAATTATTGCCTCAAATAAGTAAGTAAAGAACCTAAGTAAATAAGTTATGTCCCACCTCTGAACATAATTAGTGTGTTTAATGTGTGTGGCTAAAAATCTTCTTATATTGCCAATTTGGAACTTTTGTCAACAACATAACATTTTTTTTAAACATAGAAAAATGATTCTATCCTAGTCTCTATTTTCTTTTGCTTGTAATGCTGATACGTTTGATACATTTCATTATTTTTTAACTGACACTTTTGAAACTCGAAGCTAATTTGCTAGCTAGCAGCAGCAGGTGTTTCCTATATTACTAATTAGCAGTGAGGCCTCGATTGTGTAAGCAGAACGTTATGTGGACCTGAGCGAAAAAGCGTTTCTACTACTTTCTACTCGAAAAATGTACTGTTAAACGGAACTTTCATTTTTCGAAGCCAGGGAATGTTTATTTGGTTGTTTTCATTCCTCTGCAGTGTTTTATTTCTAACAGGTTGAGCAAGCACGTGAAAGAAAATGGACGGTAAAGATTCCTTCTTGCATATCCAACTTTAACCGTGTTTTATTAACCCCAATGTGCAGGCAGTAATTGCTTGAAAACAATATTATCTAACTGTTTAACTGCTGCTTCCTGTAGATGGAAGCAAACAACCACACACACATGGGAACGGACAACAAAGAATACAACATTCCAGACCTTTCTTCTATGTCCAGCCGCCTTCTCAACCACAGTACATGTACCAGCAGCAGTGGCAGATGAATAACCCATACAGTCAGTATGGCTTACCTGGAGGTATCAACCGATTTAATCTTTTTTCCTGCCGTCACCAGAAGTGTATTTTACAGAAAATCTTTTTTTGCACCACTTTCCCTTGCACTATTCGGTTTTCTCTGTCTGTTATGTTGCATTCTTGGAGAAACCTGTGATTTTTCACTGCCAACAACTGCACTGTAGCTACTGTGCCTATGATATCATAGCTATTGAATATTAATTCTTGACAAAGCACTAAGATATGGGAAAATAAGTTTAGAATAGTGGGCTCTTTAAATAACATACTTACTTAAATACTAGGAAGTTATCAAGTATTTTCAACTCAAAAGGAGTCACTGGTGTTCTTGTCCGGTTTTTGTCTTAATTTTGTTTACTCTAAAGTCATCAAATGTGTGACTTGAGTCCACACCGTGCTTAATATTCTCCTCTCCACTACTGTCAGTCGTCAGTATTGCACTTAAATGCATCTTTTTATTTCCCAGGTCTAAACTATGGTCGTCCCTGCATGCAGCCATACCAGTACATGCAGTATCCTGGGTTTATATACCCACAGTCCCCGCTATATCCAATGGATTACAGGCGAATGTTTGAGCCCCGCTTCCAGGCTTCTCCTTGGCATGACATGCCTCGCCACCCGCACCAGTACCAGCAGCAGTACCACCACCACCACCACCAGCAGCCACAGCCTTACGAGCGCCGTGAAATGGCCTGTTCAGAGGCTCAAACCGAACCCAGCGACCCCATAACCAAACTCATTCAATGCCTGGATCAAATGCGAGCCACTGAGCTGCATGGCGCTGAGAAAGAGCTCGACTCGGGAGTCACCTCACACTCCTCTGGAATTTTTTCTCCAGGAGAAAAAAAGAAAAGTGGAGAGCAGAGTCCCATCCTGCCCTCGCCGCCTGATGACAGCCATTCTGAGTCGTCTCCAGCTGTGACCTTCAGTGAATCCACCACAGCGGTGTACGACAGCGAGTCCAGCCGACCGAGCTTAGATGGCCTGAGCCCCGCGGGATGCTGGTCAGCAGGATTTGAAGGGGAGTTGCCTCTCGATAGCTCCTCTATTCACGAAGACTATCCCGAGTTGAAGCAGCCAGCAGATGATGAACACTTCCTCCCTGCAGAGGTTGCAGATGTCCAGTCAGATATCTCAGCAACCAATGCAAGTGTTCCCAAATGTGACGTTAAAGAGCTCCCAAAACATAGAGTGGATCCAATCCTTCCATTTTCCTCTTTTACCTTCAGTCAGAAGGCACTCAAAGATGCTAGAAGTGTTGACAAAGTCTCAAAGGCTGAACATCACAAAAGTTGTCAGAGCTACCAGATCCTCAAGCTGCCTTTTGACAGTGTTCTGACGCCCGGAGATGCTCCAGCCACCTCCCTCTCCCCCCGTACTGCTGCCTACTACTACAACTACCTGTCTGGGCCGTCCACCCATGAGCGGATGAGCGTTCTCAGTCCATCTTTGGACGAGCTCTCCTCCAGAGATGAGATGTTCTCCACGGATCTGGACGATGCAGATCTTTTCCCCAAACATGTGTATACAGGCAGGAGGCTTGCAGAGGTTCTAAGTGGGTCTCCGCAAGCTGCTAAAGAAGTGGAAGAAGTGTGGCAGCCAGGATCGAAGAGGTTCATGTGCGCCTGCTGTGGGAAAAGCCTCGCCAAAGGAGTAGCCAGGAGTAAAGTCCGCAGCTCCAAGATATACAGGGATGAGGGCGGAGACTCTGAGGACGAAATGTTTGAGAGAGGCTGCGAGAAGCCCATCAGAGTGGTTGTGAGGAAGCATACTGCACCCAAAAAGCCCCCGTCTGTCCCACTGAGACATGCCGCAAAACACTGGTATAAAAGAGGCCAATACAAAGATCCCTCAGATCCAGTGACCCAGGAGGAAGGTCATGATGTCAGCGAGCAGGAGCCAGCCGATGAGGCCGGAGACATGACTGGTAGTGAGCTGCAGTGCAGAACATGTCTGGGTAAGTTGCCTTTTTTGTCAAATGATGTAACCATGTTTGAAATATGCACTGAATAAGTTAACCCTTTTTTTTATAGACGGACCCTGCAGAGAAGATCTGGCCATGGCAGACCCAGGCAGGTGGGGAGACGGTGATTTGATTCCCAGGCGGAGACAAGCAGCCGCCCTGCAACGACAAGGTTGAATTCACTCAAATATCCTGCAGAAAATACAAGCTCAAGTTCATTCTCTGTTAATTGTTGCAGGAAGCATTTGAAATCTCTTGAGTTTAGTTTACACTCACTATTAAAAAAATGACTTACAAAAAAAAGGTTTACATTTTTTTTTAAATACGCTTTTTGGACAAGGCACGACTCAAACCTCTGGGCTCTGAGGTGTTTCCTTGTTGTCATTGCGGTCTTCTTAAATTCATAGATACAACACATGCTTCTTCTCTAAGCATTAATGAAATCTTCAAATTGAATTCTCTCCTGGTTTTATGTTCTGCTCCTATCCACTGGACAGACACGAGTACTCAGCGGAAAGTGATGTACCACAGGCCAAGAGACGAGGATGACGACGAGCCACCCCCATTACACTGGGAGAGAGGTTAATATAGTAACATTGTTAACACTGTCACATTTCTTTGCATGCAATTAATGTTTGTTCTATCTTTGTCAGGCTCTGCGATGAGAGGAGAACCAAGATGTTAATGTACCCAAAGAATGTTGAACTGTAGGTGAAATGCAATATGTTCAGACTTCTGTTTTGTTGAAAATACGTCTTAACAAAATGTTTTCTTTCCTCCCCAGGTCCCCCTTAAAGGTGTAATTGTCAAGAATAATACGTTTAAAAATATTTAGAGCACCAGGTGAAATGCACCGCACACCTGTTTTTGTTTAGATAAAAGTTAAGAAAATGTATAAAGTTTCTGCAGTGACACTGTCTTGCACTATTCATGATTTATGGATTTCACAAACGTCAAATGGGCTGAAGGTCGTGTTGCACATGATGGTGTGCCACAGTTTGGGGCCAGTCCAATAAAAATATTGTCATAATTTAAACTTTGTCTTGAATAATTTTACATGTTGCAATGGTTCACATTATGCATGGAGACTTTTTTCTATTATGTATTGGGGAAACTGAAAATCAATTGTTTTGTTTGTGTTAACTGTTTCTGTAACCTCTGTGGATAGTTTCTGTTTCACTTCCTTGCAGTTGGAGAACATTATGGAGGTTCTATGGGGACTTTCCCTTATTTTCTGACATTTAATGGACCAAAGAATTCATCAGTTATTCAAAGTAATTGCATCCAAAGAAAAGGTTTACAGAAACCTGAGGCAAATAGCAACAACTGTTCTTGGAAATGGCCAAACTAATTATTATGGTTGTAGATCATTATTTAATTTAACATAAAAAAACCCTCTTTTTAGGGATTTTTCTTTTACCTAAAAGCAAACAAACCAGATTCCCACACAAACATGTTAATACTTAAAATCACTTGCTAGTAAACAAACTGGTCTCATGCAGTGTGTTTATTCTTCATGGCTAATACATGCTGCTCCAGGCTAATGACCTATCTCACTAATTGGCTCTTTAGGGGTCAAGCCTGCTTCTCAACAGGTTGTGTGTGGGATTTGCATTTTAGAGAATATAAATGCTTTTTCTTTTTCTGTTCACCTGCAATAACATAAGACAACGAGTCTCATTAAGACTGTGTAAAGCAGTGTGTCCCAACCCAATTTATTTTTGGATGCTTTTTCTTTCATTGAGTAAACTGTAAAACCCCTATCTAAAGTGACATATTTCATATATGCAGCAACAATACAGATCAACAAATAAACTGCACATTTACCCAAACAGTGATTTTAATAACAGCAGGCAGTTTGTGTAAATCAGGTCATTTATGCTTTTTGAGCAGATTATTTCCTTACCTTGTTATTTTTAGGATTTTAATAAAAATGTCCCGTTTATATTATTTCTTTTAAACAATCATACTTACATAATAGTCTTCTATTTCCATAAAAATATTGTCTAGTGCTGCCATTAAATGAGAATAAATAAAGTTGATATCTTATATAATGATCCACATTTAAAAAACAAACAACTTTATTTATTTGTATTCACAGGAATGAAGGCTATCTTACAAAAC